ATCTATCTATCTATCTATCTATCTATCTATCTATCTATCTATCTATCATCTACCTTTCATCTATCAATCATCTATCCATCCATCCATCCATCCATCCATCCATCCATCCATCTAAACAAGCTTTCTCTCTCGACCTTAGAGAAGGACTCGCCAGCTCCTAATCTCAATTCTTTCTTTGCATCCACCGATAGTTTTGCAGCATCTTCTATGCATTTTGCCCATTTTCGCATTTTGATGTAATATGTTGCTTCCTTTTTACTGTTGAGTAGAAATGTCCAATTCAGTAATTTGAAATACATGGGTAGTCCTTGACTTACACACTATTCATTTAGTGACCATTTAAAATAGAAAGGAAATATTGACTAAACACCTAAGGATATTTACCCATGTAGCAGGGCCGTATTCAAATTATCCTTCTCAGTTTCCTATGACTTTCTCCTCTTGGTATCTCATAATTATATCCCTTTTGTTCTTTGAGAGCCTCTGCACCAGAGATAAACACCTTGTGTGTCCAATCACACTTGGCCAATAAAGGATATTCTCTTCCATTTTATCTTCTAACAACAGGGGTGTCAAACAATGAAACTGAGTTTTGAGCAATGAAATTGACGGTCGCATCAGGACAGGGGTTGACCTTGGGGGTGGGGGATGGGCGGGCGTGACCGACTGGGTGGGTATAGCCAGCTTGACGCCATTCTCCAAACTGCAGGCATGTTTCTCCTTTGCTTTGAATGCACCGGACTGAAGCTACATTGGCCTGATCTTTCCTCTTCGCACTGGGTAGGCCAGGATACCCCTCTTCTAAGAGGCTAACACAGAAAATACGAAATTATATTTCTTCTCCATCCCAGTCTTCTTCTACCCAGTGGTGTCATGCTACCCGTTTGGATCGCTTCGGCCAAACCAGTGGTAAAAAAAGCCTCTGACAATCAGCTGAGAGTAGGAAAAAAAGCCTCCGACAGCTGAGAAGAGACAAGCTCAGAATCGGCCTTCCCTCTCGTCCCTGCGCTTTTCTCTTCACAGATCATCAGAGTTGGAAGGGGCCTGGTAGGTTATCTAGTCCAACCCCCTATCCAAGCCGGAGACCCTACACCATTTCTGACAAATGGCAGACCAATCTCTTCTTGAAAGTCTCAAGTGATGAAGCTCCCACAACTTCCAAAGGCAACTTCTATTCCATGGGTTGATTGTTTTCACTGTCAGGAAATTCCTCCTTATTTCCAGATCGAATCTCTCCTGGATCAGTTTCCATCCATTCTTGCTTGTCTGGCCTTCGGGTGCCTTGGAAAATAGCTTGACCCCCTCCATTCTGTGGCAGCCCCTCAAATATTGGAAGACCGCTATCCTGTCTCCCCTGGTCCTTCTCTTCCCTAGACTAGCCAGGCCCAGTTCCTGCAACCGTTTTTCATATATTTTAGTCTCCAGTCCCCTAATCATCCTGGTTGCTCTTCCTTGTACTTTTTCTAGAGTACAGGCATGTTTCTTCTTTTTTCAGTAATCTTCCCCCTGGAGTGAGGAGGGAATGGGTTTTTTTCAATATTCTTCCTCTGCCATGCCCACCAAGCCACGTCCACCAAGCCACGCCCACAGAACCGGTAGTAAAAACATTTGAATTCCACCACTGACTTCGACCATGCAAGGAAAGGAAAATGGCTTTAGGATCCTCCCAAGCTTGGATTTTGATGACATTTTATGTGAGGAATTGAAAGTCTGACTATCTTCTGAGTTTGGCAGAAGGGCTGCTGTCAACGGTGAAGCCGGGTTGTTTTAATTGCGCTGAATTATTGTGTTTCCGCGATGATCTTTATTACATTTTCAAACATAAAATGCTCCAAAATGGCAAAGAGAGAGGGTAATTTCCCAGGCTTATAATAGGCAAGAGACATTTAAAAGAAAAAGAACAAGAACAAGAAGAGAAGATATAATTTACTGCACTTACAGTTGTGGTGATACAGTCTGGGTGTCACTTGCGGATTACACCAAATGACAACACACCTGTCAGGATAGGTCAAACCAATCCTAAGAAGGTCACATTAGCGATAATCCTGCATACAGGTAGTCCTTGACTTACAAACACAATCGAGCCCAATATTTGGGTTGCTAAGCAAGGCAAATGTTAAACGAGCTTTGCTCCAATTTACGACCTTTTCTGCCACTACTGTTAAGCGATTCCTTGCAGTTGTTAAATTGGTAACCTGGTTGTTAAATGAATCTTGGACTGTGGTTTGTTGGACTGTAGCAAAAGGGGATCACGTGACCTCTAGGAACCGCAGTCCTTTTCTTCTCACCCCGCTCCCAAACACAACAAACCCTCTGATGCGAACTCAGAAGATTCCTTTATTGGGAGAGCTGGCAGCAAAAAGTCCCTGTCTCACAGCAGACTAACAAGTCCATCCAGCCAGAAGATAAATAATTGTCTGCCACACCTATTCAGCAGTGGGATTCCAATTTTTTTCCCCACTGGTTCTATGAGAAGGCGCTTTGCACGGGCCTTGCATGGGTGCCGGGCCAAACACGTGCTTCGGGCGGGTGCGCAGCAATCACAAAATGGCCTCTGTCAGCGCTGGTGAGGTGAGCTTTTTTTCGTTCAGCTGAGGCGTGGCAATCTACTATGCCATGTGAATCAGCTGAGGTAAAAAAAACACAAAGGAATATAGGACAGGATAGGGCAGGGACAGGTGGGCGAGGCCGGTCAGAGGTGGGATTTGCCGGTTCTCCAAAGCTACTCAAAATTTTCGCAAGTGGTACGGCAGAACCGCTCTGAACCGGCTGAATACCCACCTCTGCACCTATTCATGCACACGCTCACCGAACCGGTGGTTCAATCGGTTGCAACCCGCCACTGGTGATATGGTCTATATGCCCAAAAGGTATGGAGCATGCAGCATGAGGTTGTGAGGCTGCTTTTGTTATTTTGACAAAAAAAAAATGGACAAAGCTGTGGATGCTTGTGTTTGGGTACAGTTAGAAGCTAATGGATTGCTTGCCTTACACGTTATTCTGGCTAGCACAGAGTAGAATCCAGTTTATCTTTCCTTAAATTGAATATGTGCTTTAAGAACCATCATTTTGTGCTCACCTATGAAGATCAAAGATATGTCAACCAGTGGCCTTGCTAGAAAACGAGATCTCTTTCTTCCATTTGATCTTGTTAGATTTCAGTTCTTTCTTTCTCTCTTTCTGTCTCTCTTGTCCTCTCTCTCTTTCTCCCTCTCTCTCTTGCTTTCTCTCTTTCTCTCTCTTTCTCCCTCTCTCCATCTCTATCTCTCTCTCTCCATTCAAGATTAGACTTTTTAAAGGAAATGAATAAAAAAAGAATGAATAAATCTGGATGAACTATTTATAGGACATGGCTGGTTATGGAAATCTATTTTTTGCATGCGTCGAGATACAAAATATGGTCTTGTTGCGTTTTCATTATAAAGTGACAGCCGAGAGGTATCAGATTTACCTTTTTCCAAATGTCCAGATTTCACAATTACCTTCACATTTTCTTAGCACGTCATCAAACTTTGCGAAGTTCAATCAAAGACACTGAAGTTGGTATTTTTCTTAAATAATCCTTGACTTCCAATCACAATTGAGCCCAAATCCCCATTGGTAAGCAAGACAATTGTTCAATTGAATCTTTATCCCCATTTTATAACCTTTCCTTGCAGAGTTGTTAAGTGAATCCCTGCACCTGTTAAGTTAGTAATATGATTGTTCAGGGAATGTAGTTTGGTTTATCAGAAGGTTGCAAAAGAATAGAATAGAATTCTTTATTGGCCGAGCGTGTTTGGACACACCAAAAATTTGTCTCTGGTGCAGAAGCTCTCAGTGTACATACAAGCAACTAAGCAATAAATCATGATCATAATCATGGTGTATAGCATAACCCAGGGATGCTGCAACAGTTCTAAACACATGCCAGTTGCCAAGCCTGCAAATTTTGATCATGTGACTACGGGGACGCTGTTGCGTTCCTAAGTGTGAAAGACAGTGGTAAGTTACTTTTTCAGTCTTTTCCTAATTTCAAATGTTCGCTAAGAAAATGGTTGCAAGTCGAGAACTATATTTTTAGAAGACAGGTCTGTGGACCCATGTCCAGTCACACTTCATTGAAACAGGTGGTGTACATCAGGGGGTGTCAAACTCAATTTCATTGAGGGCTGCATCAAGTTTGTGCTTGTGGGGCTGGAGTGGGGGGCATGGCTAGGAGTCGTGGTCAGCTCAACGTCACTCATTGGAGCTCTGTTTTTGTCTGGGACGGCCTCCTGCAGCCCTCTGCCAGTGAAAACAGAGCCCAGTAAGGTTATGTGGCCATCCTGAGCTCCGTTTTTACTGGCAGAGGGCTGCAGGAGGCCATCATGGTCAAAATCGGAGCCCAGGAGGGCTGTGTTTGTCTCTTCTGAACTTTGTTTTTACTGGCAGAAGCACCGTGGGCTGGTCCTTCACTGTTTCCAGGGCGGGCGAGATCCAAGTAACCTACAGGCCAGATCCAGTCTGTGGGCCTTGAGTTTGACACCCCTGGTGTACATCATCTATTCACCCACTTGATAACTTATGGAATAAGAAAGAAACAACCCCTGATTAGAGCAAAAACTTCACCGAAGCGGTCGTGTTTCTTGGTTTGTTGTTGTCAGGGTATCGCATGAGGTTAGGATCCAGCACCGATAAGAAGGACTCCGGCCGCCTTCACGTTGATTTTGCTCAGGCCCGGGATGATTTTTACGAATGGGAGTGTAAGCAGAGGATGTTGGCAAGAGAGGAACGCCACCGTCGCAAAATGGAGGAAGACCGGATACGTCCCCCTTCGCCTCCCGTCATAATGCATTATTCGGAACACGAGGCCTCTTTGCTGGCTGAAAAATTGAAAGGTAACGCAAGGTTTTGCGATTTCCTCAAATGTCAAAACATCGCTAACGCTGCAAGCTGGTTACCATGCCCGCTATATGAAAACATGCTCTCATCATCTTTAATGAAATGTGTCTCTTTCCTTCTGTTGTATGACAATAACCGCTGTTTGGGTACGATCTGGAAATACGCATCGTCTCTTTCTGAATTTCGACAGAATGTTTTGAAATATTCCGGTTATTTCCTTCTCCTTCAGTGTTATTGAAGTTTGGTTTTTTTTTTTTACACATCAGGGAGGTGTGAAATCCAATTTGCCACTTCGTGGGCGACACTCAGTGGAGAGGAGGTAACCCATCAAAACTTTCTGCCTCTTGTCACGATGCGTCCTTTCACAGATTTGTCACAGTCGAAGCCTGAGACGGAAGTGTTGCTTCAGACCACAAATAGTGTGCATTAGCCCCAGTGAAAGAGGGGCGTTTGTGTTTTCAGCAAACTGAGAAGTTTGGTGGGATCTTGTTTTGCCATCCCACGTGCGCCTTGACTCTGTCTGCAGCATCGTACGTGGTGCTTCCATTAACATCCCAAGTTGTAGCTTTTATACTGGCTGTTAAATAGAAATACAGTTGTAGGGATGGAAGGGACCTTGGAAGTCTTCTACCCTGTTTCCCCCCAAAATATGACCTACCCTGGAAGTAAGTCCTAGCTTGATTTTCACACATGCAGTCAATATAAGCCCTACCCACCCACCCACCCCCAAAATAAGCCCTAATTAAGACCCCCACTGACTCTAGAGTGCATGGGTAAAAATTAAGCTAGGGTGGGGATGGGTTGGTGGGTAGAGTTGCCCTACTACTTACCTTTAGACAGTGGTAGCCAGGCCTCACACACCCCGACACCTGCCTCGCCAGCCTATTTCTTCTGCAGCCGGCAAGGCTGGCAAGGCTTTCCTGAAGGCCTCTGGAGCTGACAACAAAGCTCTGGATCGATCCTGAGCTCTCTTATCGACTGCAGAGGCCTTCAGGAAAGCATTGTCGGTCACAGAAGAAGAAGTTCCTGAAGGCCTCTGACAGTTAAAAGGAGGCTGGGGGCCACACACACAAGTGAGGTTAGTCAGTGGATGACACCCCCCGAAAATAAGACCTGCTGCCTTTTTGGGGCGGGGGCAAAAAATATAAGACAGGGTCTTATTTTGGGGGGAAACATGGTAGTTCAGCCCCCTGTCCAAGGCAGGAGACCTTATGCAGGTAGCCCTGGATGTTCGACTTGTATCCAAGCTTTCTGTTTGTAAGCAAGACAGTTGAATGAGTTTTGTTCCATTTTATGACTTTTCCCCCCACCGTTGTTAAGTGAATCACTGCAGGGGTTAAGTGTAAGGGTAAGACGGTTGTTGAGTGAATCTGGCTTCCCCATTGACTTTGCGCGTCGGAAGGTCGCAAAAGGGGATCACGTAACCCTGGGACACTGCAAGCGTCGTAAATATGAGACCATTGCCAAGTGTCTGAATTTTGATCCTGTGAACATGGGCATGCTGGAAAAGTCAGAAGTGTGAAAAATGGCCATAAGTCACTTTTTTTTAGTGTCGTTGCAACTTCCAAAGGTCACTAAATTAATAGTTATAAGCCGAGGGCTATAATTACCATCCTAGACAAATGGCTGTCGAATCTCTTCTTGAAAGCTTCCAGTGATGGAGCAGTCCAACTTCTGAAGGCAACTGTGATGACCCAGAGTGTGACCCAAAAATAACGAAGTCACCAAAGTAGAATAAATTCCCTTTAATGACTCCAACTTGACTCCCAATGTCCAATTATTCTCGGCTGGAGATCAAACTCTTCAGAAAACAGTCTACGAAGGGAAGAAATGCAGTCCGAACCCAAAGTAAAGATAATCAGAAATAAAAAAACTAACCCAAACCACACTGAAGTCATTAACACGACAGGCCAGGATGGTAAATTGCAGACTTCCACAAGATAATGCAGCACCCACAGTTGGGAGGATGCCAAAACCCAGATAAGGCTTGACAGAGGTAATGCACACTTTGTTTCCAGCAAAGATCCTTGTGCAAATGCCCTTCTTATATCCTGTTCTCCCAGCTACAACTGATGAAAGAGATCAGGGCCTTTTTCTCTCCCGTAAACCATGTTGCTCCCTTCTCCATTCCTCCCTGTGTGCCCTAGGATGAAGAGGGGGTGGCCCTGGGTCTTCATCTGAAGGCCCAGCCGGACCATTTCCCCCGTTTCCTCCACAGCCCCTAGAGCCACACTCCTACTCCCTGTCAGCTACTCACTCTCCCCCTCAGAATCAGACTCCAACAAGGGCATGACACTAACTTCTGTTCCACTGGTTAATTCTTCTCACTGTCAGGAAAATTCCTTCTTACTTCCAGGTTGTATCTCCTCCCTCCAGGTTTAATTTTTAAAAAATAATTTTAATTTAATCTCCACTCGGAATTGTAATGGCTTAATATGACGTTTTACTGAAATACAGTAGGCTCGTTTCTCAGCACGCCGTTCAACAAAGTCAAAACGTTTTGTGTAATTAAGTGGATGTGATCCCTTTTTTTCCTAAAGAATGCTATGCCAATGCAACGGTCCCTGTTCATTTGTATTCCTAGTGACTTGATTCAAAAAATACATCAAGGAGTCTCGTTATGTAGGGGAGCCTCAGAACTTATCCAGTTTTATCCAGTTTCTTATGCAACGCCGTCTTGAAATTATGTGTTTTACATCCTTTGGAAGCAAACGATTTTTCTACTGATTGCATTTCATATTCCCCACCTGCTAGTCGTTGAAAGCAATTGGTTCTCATTCCCTGTTGATTGACAGAGGGAGGACTCAGGTTCAAAGACTTCGTTTGAGGGGTTTTGTTTTGGTGACTTTCAAGCTTCCTTCTTATGTCTGTAGAGTTTCTTAGTCATCCAGGTCATGGTTGTCCTAGAGGTGCTTTTTCCAAAAGGCAGCTGGACTTCCTTGTTTTTTTTTTAACTTGAAGAGATTCCGCTTCTCATCCCAGAAGCTTCTTCCATTCTGCCTGAAGAGTGGAGAATGGAAGGACTTTCACAGAGAGTCTTAATGACCAGATGACTGCGAGGAATATTCCTCGCAGTCATCTGGTCACTAGGACTCCCTCTGAGAGTCGTTGAGGCCACTTGGACAGATGAACAGATAAACCTCCAAGTGGCCTCAATGACTCTCAGAAAGAATACTAATGACCAGATGACTGACTGCAAGGAATATATAATTCTTCTCAATTTAGAACTTGTATTTTTTGTGTATACTAAATTATCCCCCCAAAGAAAGAACACATTGGATATTTAAATACATGGATCCGAGCCATCAGAGGCTGTATTAAATATGGAGGTTGATTATGTGAGAGTCAAGGAACATGAGCCCTGAGGAGAAATGTCCAAGTTTAAATCCAGGCCTTTAATTGCTACGGAAGTTGTTAATCTCTTTTGATCAAGACTCCATCAGCTGCTGTGGATTCCAAACTATTATTTCTCTGGTCAGGAGCCCCTTTTGTACTGTTCTCCTTCTTTGGAGTCTTTGTAGGTGGGGAGTTTGGGTTTCCAAAATTGAAAGCTTGAGCTTTCAGAAGTGTTATCTTATAGCAGGCACTGCAGTTCATGAACAGCAATAGCATTTAGCTCTTAGACTTATATACCACTTCACAGTGCTTTAGAGCTCTCTCTCAGCAGTGTACAGAGTCAGCCTCTTGTACCCAACAATCTGGGTCCTCATTTTACCCACCTCAGAAAGATGGAAGGCTGAGTCAACCTTGAGCTGGTCAGGACTGAACCCATGGCTGTGAGCTGAATTAGTTTTCAATACTGCATTCTAATCGCTGCACTATTAGATATAGAATAGGTGATGGTTGATAGATGATAGATGATAGATAGATAGATAGATAGATAGATAGATAGATAGATAGATAGATAGA